TCTTTTTCACATGTTGCGACATTGGTTGGAGGCATTGGGGAAGCTATATGGCAAAGAGAAGTGATGAAATCTCGCACGAGCAACGTTCAACCATGATAAGTAAATAGAAGAAAGAAACTCATCGAAGAAAATATCGTTGACATTGCTATTGATGGAGACTAGTTGGTGGCCTGATCTATTCTGTAGGGTCGTGTTGGCTACAGTGGATCGCTTTGTTTTCCAATTATCATTTCTTAGCAATGGATGAACGAAGAAAGTTTAAAGGATAGTGTACTAAACATATATTTTTTTTCATACCTGATATTTCGATATTTTTTTTGTGTTTATTTCAAAAGTCAGAAGTGAGCCGTTGTGTACTAGGGTACTATGGCTCGGTCTAATTTATACAGTAGATCATTGTGGAGAAATATAGAGAGTAATAAAACAAATGAACACAATTAATAGTTGGCCAAATTAATCAAAAATTTAAATTACATTATCAATCGTATCAAGATTAAAGCAATCTTAACAAGTATTAAGAAAAATAACAACACCATTTTTATTTACTTGAATAATTTATTTTTAAACTTTTCACTTGATCCATTGTGTACCTTTGCGGTATGCGCCACTGTAGCAATCGATGTCAATTTGTAGTTATAATACTGATATATTGATTTTACGTAAATCACTTTTGTATAAGACATATTGTGTTAATTTAAAAATATCACCAAACCGAAAATGTTCATATTGATGAAGTAAGAACATAAGAAATTACACAAAGGTAAAGCTTAATTTTAACACATAAACTTTAAAATTCCACAAGATTTATTTAATTTTGCGCTAGAGGCGAAAATTTTACTGTTTCATTCATGTTTGTGTGCCAAGCTTTTCCAATGACCGATCAAAAAATTTAGATAATATGCTCGTTTCTTAAACACAAAATCTTACTGAGCCTGTGTTTCCAAGTAAGCAAGTAATCAAGTAAGCAAGTAAGCAAGTAAGCAAGTAAGCAAGTAAGCAAGTAAGCAAGTAAGCAAGTAAGTAAAAAAGTAAACAATAACAAGTAAACAAGCAGACACGCAGGCAATCAGATAATTAGACAAGCAGACAAGTAGACAGACATGTAGACAAGAACACAAGCAGACAGACTAGTAGACAAGCAGGCCAAAAGGCCAGTAAACCAGTTAAACACTTAACCAGTATACCAGTAGATCACTAGACCAGTATATCATTCAACCAGATGAACAGCAAACCAGTAAGCAAGCACAGAAGAAAAAAGTAATCAGAGTAAATAGTAGGTAAATAAGATAACATGTAAGCAAATAAAACAAGTAGGCAAGTAGACAAAAGATAAGTAGGTGCAAACTATGAATAATGCGTGTATCGTAACTGGTGTGTTTTACTATTGTGCAAAAGCACACGATAAACTGTCGGTCCCGACTACAGACGGCGGTAGTCAAATTTTGAACCAAGTGTGTACCTTAACAATATGGGTACAATCATAATCAATTAAACTACAATCTTAACGCGTTTATACCACAATTACAACAGGCTGGTCCGCAATCGTGTCTTGTTAGCCGTAATATGTTGAAACTTTTAGTATTTTAAGACATCGTTTTGTTGGAATTATCTGTAAGAGGATAGTTAAAAAGAGATGAGATGAGACTACTGATTGAGCGTAAATAAACGCTTATTTTGTGTATGTAACATCTGTCATAATCATCATAATTCTTTATTCATCAACACAGGTAATATTACATAAATAATGGTGACAAATTTTAAAGAAAGCACGCTGAGGAGGGCCGTAAGGCATATGAATTTGCATACATTAAAATAAATTATTGAAAAAGATTAAATTATGTCATAAAATTAAATTATTTAAAATGTCCTACATTAATAAATACATAACAAAAGACTATAAGCTCTACTGTAGAATGTCATACATTAAATTATTATTACACAATATTACCAAATGAATTATTATTTATTATCATGCATTGAAAAAGAATAAAAAATAAAAATAAAACATATGTCAAATTAAAAACAAAGTCCAGTGCCTATACTAACTAAAAATCATTACATTATTATAAATTTTGCTTATAGTATTTCATTTATCCATCTAGGAATTGCTTAATATGTAAGAAACATTTTTCTGACAAGTAATTATGCAATTGGCGTTTAAAAGTATTTAATTCTTTTCCGGTCTAATGTTATAAATGTCTTAGATACTTAGTTTTACTATTGAAGCCGATGTTCATTTTTTATATTATAATATTCTTTAGTTGTTTAACGTCGAAACTATTGAAGATTACAATATTTTTACAGAATCAAATTAATTACTAAAGTTAACGATTTAAATGGAAATAAGAATTAAGGTAAAGTAAAGCATGAATGTGCAAAGATAAAAATGGTTTAAATAACAAGTTTTGTTTTAAAAATTATTTTGCGTTGCGGTTACAAAAATCAATCAGACACTAAAAGTTACTGTTACTGAGCGATATTTCAGAGATTTTAAATTTGATCATAATATGAATTGTAAATTTCTGAGCCCGATTTTCGGAGTTCTGTTGTCGAGCAAAATTTTTCGGAAGTTTAAATAAAAAATCATGTACCGAGCTAGCTTCTCGGAAGTTTCTAAAATATTATGTACCGAGCGAGCTTCTCGGAAGTTTTTAAAAAGATTATGAACCGAGCGAGTTCTCGGAAGTTGCTAAAAAGATTATGAACCGAGCGAGATTCTCGGAAGTTCCTAAAAAGATTATGAACCGAGCGAGATTCTCGGAAGTTGCTAAAAGATTATGAACCGAGCGAGTTCTCGGAAATTGTTAAAAGATTATGATCCGAGCGAGTTCTCGGAAGTTGCTAAAAAGATTATGAACCGAGCGAGTTCTCGGAAATTGCTAAAAGATTATGAACCGAGCGAGTTCTCGGAAGTTGCTAAAAAGATTATGAACCGAGCGAGTTTCTCGGAAGTTGCTAAAAAGATTATGAACCGAGCGAGTTCACGGAAGTTGCTAAAAATTATGAACCGAGTGTGATTCTCGGAAGTTTTTAAAAAGTTTATGTACCGAGCCAGATTCTCGGATAGGTATGTCTAATATTGGCTATGTATAAAGTGCTGTAAAAAAAAATTATAACTAAGCGAACTTAATTAGAGTTACTGAGTTTTTTTTGTGGTGCGCCAAGATTTATGGATTTAGACAGAGGTTTATAATATTATTCTTATTATTATTTTTTATCGAATTTTCACAATATTTTGAGTTATTTCACTAACTTAAAAAAAAATTAAAAAAAAATTTTGAAAGCCAGTTCCTCCAAATTAACAAGACATGTACCTAATCATGAATATTTTAAAAATTTAGATTATAAGTGTTTCCTTCAATTAATAAAAAATATAACTACGAAACTAAATAACACAAGGTCATAGGCAGTAAATTGAAATTAAATCAACTTAACAAAAAAAAAAACAAAATAGTTTCGATTAAAATGAAATGAGTAATGATAAAATCAATGGACGTCAAATATTTAAATAATTGTTCATTAATAGTACAGAACCAAACCTACATTTTTTTTCTTCATGTAAAACAAATTATGTATTACTGTTTATTTAATTGAGGTCTTGGTAAATAATACAAAGCCTAAGACAAGATTGCTTATAAAATACTGTGAGTTACATGAGTCAAAAAAAAAAAAACAAGTAAATCTTATTATTACGAGGACGCAATATGTAGTCAGAAATAGCCGAGTATATGATTAATGTAGCTGAAAATTACTTATAATTTATTATTATTTTTAGAAGAAAAATTAAATGCTTTTTAAATTTTGATATACTGTGTCGATATTTTAAGAATAAAATAAGTATTTTTGTGTCTTAGTTTATTTAAAATACTTTAGACATTGAGGTTGTTTAAAATGTTACGATTTGTAGAAAATATTTTTGAAAATAATGTTATTGTAAATATTTTATATAATGGGTCGTTTGTGTGTTAGTTTATTTGAAATACTTCAGACATTGAGATTGTTTAAAATGTTACGATTTGTAGAAAATATTTTGAGAATAATATTATTGTAAATATAATGGGTCGTTTGTGTGTTAGTTTATTTGAAATACTTTAGACATTGAGATTGTTTAAAATGTTACGATTTGTAGAAAATATTTTTGAGAATAATATGATTGTAAATATTTTAAATATGGGTCGTCAAAATCAATTGTTAAAACTTATTGTTAAATTATTGTAAGACAAATAATGTTTGTGATATTCTTTCATTACGAGGGCGTAATTTAGATTCAGGATTGGCCGAGTGTTAGTTATTAATTTTAACACTGTTGGATTTATGTTCTCTAATTGCAAACGTCTCGGTTTATTTCGTGAATAATGTAAACAATGATGACAGGCGACACAAGTGTTGCTATAATAAAATAATAATGTTCGGTAGGAGTGGTACTGTATTTCCTCGTATGATGGGCCAACGCATTCTATTTCATTTCATTGCTTTGTTAACTGACAAAGATACCACTATCGAGTTGACCAGGCAACGTTGGTCCAAGTATGGTTCGAAATACAGTACCAGACTAATATGCGGCGGTGTAGTAAATTTAATAATAATTGTCAAAGTTTGAAAATGTAACGGTACCCTCTGACATTCTGTATTAGGAGTTCGGTGAATAAAGTCGTGCCATATAGTGTAAATTACTCTTGGCCTTTTCATTATTAACATTAGGTACATTCTTACATTATTTCATAATTACAATATACAAAACTATTAGCACAAAATATCAGCATTTTAAAATTTAGTCACAAGTGAAAATAAGAAATAGAAAAAATGTCATACATCGACCGGGAATCGAACCCGGGCCGCATGGGTAAACGCCCCACCGCTCTGCCATGTTCTGTATTTAGAACTTACTACTAATGTGGACTAGCCATGTAGTAAGTTCTAAATACTCTCTACAGATGTCATTGGATCGTCGCTTGGAGACGAGTATCAAGAGATAGAAAATTTAGCATTCATCAACCGGTGCATCGATAGCACAGTGGCAGAGCGGTGGGGCGTTTACCCATGCGGCCCGGGTTCGATTCCCGGTCGAAGTATGACATTTTTTCTATTTCTTATTTTCACTTGTGAAAATAATATAGCACTGTGAGTGCATTACAATCCCAATAGATTAAAATTTAGTCTCATTATTTTATTTTGCCGTTCGCTCGCACTAGAAGCTGTTGACACTCGCTGCTAGCCGGTTCGAAACGGTTCAAGATCGGCGTGTAGATGTGTGTGTGTGTGTGTGTGTGTGTAAGTGTAGTGACGGTTCCTTGTAGCCGACTCTCTGTATTTGGCGCCCGCTAATACTTACTTTGTGTGCAGGGCGAGCAAGGCAAGCGGGGCGAGCGGTAATGTGCATCTCACGAAATGAGCCGCGGCGATGCACGTTATGTACACGTGTAGGTATGTATGCGCCTGTTTATGCTAAACATAAATATTAGTGCTCGCAGGCTGCTTCGCTGCTCGTGTGCAAACATGTAGATAGGACCTTTAGGGGGAACGAAGCATTATTCCGATGCATTATTTACTTCTGCCTTACCTTGTATGGTAACGAATTCTTATTTTCTTGTAGGGTGGGAAATTCGACGAACTCTAAAGATATTTGGAGCAGAAAAACAAATAGTGAACAAACTCCGACCGCTGCGCTATGACTATGATATAAAGTAAAAGTGGAACTTTATAAAATTACCGCTTTCTTACACCTTTTTCATGGGAATTTTTTCTTCATGAGCCATTGCCAGTTATTATTGTAGTAGTTTACACCGTCAAGTGACCAATTAGCATCACAATGTTCGCAGCACCGCCGCAGCGCCTGCCCGCGCCATTCAGCAACCTCTCTTTTTATGCTTTTGCCGTTTCCGAGCGGCAGGCGCTCATACTGGCTGTACGCTGTACTGGCTCCAGTGTCCCAAGGGTACGCTACCACAGCACGCTACAAATTTAGCTTCACCATTTATAAGAATAATTTTCCATTAACTTTTATTTTCGTTACCGTTGAAGCGGCGAGTACCGTCAAGTGACCTATAAATTGAGTGTGACGTCCCTCGCAGCGCTACGGGAGCACAGAACCGCTTGGCCAATTAGCAACCTCTCATTTTATGCTTTTGGCTTCTCCGAGCGGCAGGTGCTATACTGACTGTACTGGTTCGAGTATCCAATTGCTACTACAGCATGCTGCGAATTTGGCTTCAGCTTTTACAAATAATTTTTGTTACCCTTGAGAATAATTTTCCAGTAACTTTTATTTTCGTTACCGTCGAAGCGGCGAGTACTGTCAAGTGACCCATAAATTGAGTGTGACGTCGCTCGCAGCGCCACGGGAGCACAGAACCGCTTGCCCAATTAGCATCCTCTCATTTCTGTATTTTTGCCGTCTCCGAGCGGCAGGCGCTCATACTGGCCGTACTGTCTCCAGTATCCCAAGGCTACGCTACCACAGCAAGCTACGAATTTCGTTTCCGCTTTTATATGAATTATTTTCCAATAACATTTATTTTCGTTACTGTTGAAGTGGCAAGTACAGTCAAGTGACCCATAAATTGAGTGTGACGTCGCTCGCAGTGCCACGGGGGCACAGAACCTCTTGCTTGCTCAATTAGCATCCTCTCATTTTTGTGTTTTTGCCTTCTCCGAGTGGCAGGCGCTCATACTCGCTGTACTGGTTCCAGTATCCCAAAGGTACGCTACCACAGCACGCTACGAATTTGGCTTCAGCTTTTATATGAATAATTTCCAGTAACTTTTATTTTCGTTACCGTTGAAGCGGCGAGTACCGTCAAGTGACCCATAAATTGAGTGTGACGTCGCTCGCAGCGCCACGGGAGCACAGAACCACTTGCCCAATTAGCAACCTCTCATTTTTGTGTTTTTGCCATCTTCGAGTGGCAGGTGCTCATACAAACTAGCTCTCCACTAATTTTTCAGCATGAGATACTGGTAGAACAATGTGGAATAAATTCTTGCTTACACCTTTGTTATGAATGAACAATTGCCCATTGCCAGTAACTTTTATTTTTTAACTAAGCGGCAGGCACAGTTCAGTAACCTATAAATTGAGCATGACGTCGCTTGCAGCGCCGTGGGAACACCGGAGCGCCTGTCGGCGTCAATTAGCAACCTCTCATTTTTGTGTTCCTTCTCCGAGTGGCAGGCGCTAATACTGACTGGACTGTCTTAGCGTCGCGAGGGTGCCCCGCCATAGTATCCTGCGTATTTGGTGTTGCTACTAACTTTTTAGCACATAAACTGATGAAACGGAGACAGAACGTGGTCATCTTCAGCATGAATGTTTGTCTTTTCTGACTGTTTTATACAAAAACATATCAATCTTGTCACTCTTTCTTGTCACTTCCACCACAAAATAGAGAATTTACAGAAGGCCAGCTCGCCCCTTCTTTCGATCACTTATGCCTACTCTTTAGGGTTGCTACTTTTACTTGCCGTCACGAACTTTAATAGGTTAGGTACCTATGGTTGAAAGGTACAGTACGCGAACGAGTTCATGACCATGTTGAGGAATGCGGTAGTGCTGTGACTAAATTCATGTTGATGTCGATATCGAGAACTGTTGCCGAACAATTCAGTTCAGACTACTCATAGTTATTAGTTAATGGGTTGTTCCAGGTGAATTCAATTATTTTTGAGTTTTTGTAACACTGTTGCAAGTATCATGATGATTGGTTAAGCGTTGCGCTACCAGAGGCAATTATATTAGGCAATTATATTATAATGATGGCCGATATTTTAGACGGCGAACGAAGATTACCAATTTTTGCTTCTGTTTCAATTCTAGTCAATGTCTTTTTAGAAAGCCCAGTATAATGGACTGCTCGATCCTAAGCGTTGTTAACTGAAAAAGCATAATAAATTTGTTTTCTACACAAAACACAACACAAACGACGACAAAATATCGATAACTTTGTGACGCACTTTTTTCCCATCACTCGACTGCGGGCGAATGCGGGTAGGTGGGTAAACGCAGAGCGCGCCGCCCCCGCGCGCCTCCTCATTCCCCGATGGTCAAGAACTCGATCGCGTACTGTAGGTAGTTTTGAACAGGGATTCAAGCCATCATGAAAGTATACGTACCGTCACTAGTCAGTCGCACACAGATTACCTACCTTACCTACCAATGTATTGGCGGGCGGGCGATATGCGCTGGGAACACGGTAGGTAGGTAACTACCTATCATGACATGAACATGGTGACATGACAAACGTACCTAATTGTACGTACGTACCTCAAACGCTAAAGCACATATTACGAACTAAATAAGATTTATAAAAAGAAATCCCTCCATTTCTAGTGCTTTGAAGTAGGTATCTATATATTTATCAAATAAAAGAGTTCTACTTACTTTTCATTATTGCGTGTGGGTAACTGAAAAATGACAACCCACAATTTTCTGTATACATCATAAAAATATTTTTCTTTACTCGCCATTCCGTCCGCCCGCACCGAACGCGCCATTCACACTCAACCAGTTCCGGTTCGACACGGTTCCACAGAGCGCGTAAACGACGCGTGTGGATGTCTGAGTGAGTTTAGCCGCGTTTGCTCGAAGCCGACTCTCTGGATTGCGCTAGCCAATACTTTCTTTGTGCTTCCACACTCAAGTGTTTACATTTAGTACAATGTTTATTATTACTAACGAAAACAGTTTTTAGGAGAACATTTCACCACCTTACACACACAAAATTATTATCCTACAAAGTTCTGATGTTTTATAAACTGAGCGTGTATAAAAAGTGGACACACATGAGTCCCGTCCCAAGCCTGGAACACAATGTGTTCATTACCGCGTGTACTAGTGTAGTATGTAGTAGGGTAGTAGGCCGGCGAGCGACGGCCCGCGGCCCGCACGGTAATTTCCCGTGCGGCCCATAAATTACGTGCAGTTTGTCCTCCTGCCCCCCTCTCCCGCTCACCCCCCGCCCTCGCCCTGTATGCAGACTACTTTGAACACTACTGGGAGATTGCCTCAAGCACCGTTTTGGCCGTTGTCAAGTTTCAAGTCGAATGTTCGTCAGTGCGGAAGCTGAGGGCACGTAGCGTGTAGTTGTTTATTGCGTAGCGTGTCCGGGTGCTACGACGTAGCTAATGGCTACGATATTATGCACTTCTGACAAATGTTTTTAACTTTGTTGCATTCATAAGCTACTTTAGTATTCTGAAATAATTTTGAGCTGTTTTTATTCACGACAAATATTGGAATTAGTCTATAGCTGTACTTGAAATCTCAAATATTTAAAAACCAAGAATAGCCTAGGTGTAATTCAATTTGTATTATTTACGCACACAATAAACTGTACAATATGCGTGACATAATAAATTAGTTGGTTGCGTTGATTAAATTTCCCGCCATAATGTGTGGGAGTGTTACACCGGAAGTGTGTGCCGGCAGCCGGCGGCGGCCGGAAGTCGGTGGTTTACACTATTTACTGCCACGTCGAGAGGCAGATGGGCTTGTTTATCTATGAACACATAAACATACAATAATATGGTCCGAACTGTGGGTCCGAAAGACAAACAATTATTAGATTGGCTTGTTTGTTTGTTGTAAAAGTAACATTAAGGTTTTCTTTTATTTTGCACCAGTCTTTAAAGTTGGAGGGGTTTGTCGGGAAATTATTGTAGAGTAAATTTTTCGTCGTCTCAATAACGTAAAAATGATAATTGAATCTCTTGTGTTGAAATAGCAATGTCTTTTGCTTTGCTTATTTAATTTAATTTCTAATCAAGCAATTTCAATGGAATACTTTGTTTACTACAGCAAGGTCTTCAGTCTAAAAGTGTAGCAAACAAGCTGATGCGGCTCCGGCCATAGACCGGTGGAGAGCGGCTGGTAGCGACTGGATGGCAAAACAGGAAGAGGCCAATGTCCAGCATTGGACTGCTATGGGCTGATGTGATGTATGATGATTCAGTGTTCTTTTTCTCATTCGAAATTCGAAATAAGGGTGAGAATCCACCAGAGCTGTGCGAGTAAAATGTGTCGTACGAGGATGCGTAGCTGTGTCGCGACGTTTGTCGAACGTCACGGTTTATTAAC